GGGTAAGCAACACAAAAACTATCTTGCACGGTGAGCAACGCAGAGACTCTCATATGCGGCGAGCAACACAAAAACTTCCCTATGCAGTGAGTAACACTAAGACTCTCCTATGGGGTGAGTAACACAAAGACCCCCCATGAATAGAGGTGAGTTACAAAAAGACTCCACTTGCATGGAGAGCAACGTAAAAACTTCCCTCCTTTGTGAACAACACAAAGACTCCCCTAGAGGGTGAGTGACACAAAGACTCCCCAGCTCACTTAGCAATGTAAAGACTCCCATATGGGATGAGTAATACAAAAGCCTCCCTACGGAGTGAGCAATAGAAAGACTCCCTTAGGAACATGCAATCAGAAAATTCCCCTCCGAGACATGTAACATGAAATATATAATGGGTAACGAAAGACAACACATGTAAGGGTGTGAAATGCTAAAATTAACAACCACAACAATAACAATTAAAACAAGAGGAACACAAATAATTCATAAATGAAAGAGTCGAGAAAAGTTCATACATACATATATCCCTATTTCAATTTAATTACTCCTGATTGCAAAAAAAACAAAAAACCCAAAATAATGTGAATATCCCTTGATACAAAGTGCTAGAACAACAAGTTAAGGATATCAGCGACAGAAGACCTCAAGAGAGTGAAGTTGAGGAGGCACTCTCTTCCACCGAGTCAACCTGACCTGCATCAGACTTCTTGGTCACAGGAGTTCAGACCAATATAAACTTAGCAAACTCGCTCGAATCCTCATACTTTGGGTCCCCAGTCAAACAAACTAATTGATGGCAAACTCTGTTCTTTCATGAGCTTATCAACTGTAAATGAATAAGCAGCCTTCACTGCAGTTCTTCATTTTTCTCCAACACAACTATCAACCATTCTAAAGCCCCAGCCTCATCCTTGAGGTGAGCTTCAACTTCCTCAACTTGTTTCAAAGACTTCTTCAAGTGGCTTTTTATAACCTTAATCTTCTTTTGTGTCAGTGACAATTTGACTATTAAATCAAAATATAAGTTTGAAAGATAATATGATGAAGGTGCCACTAGCAGCTAATGTCTATCGATCATTTGAAGCAGCTCCAACGGACTCAAATCATGCAACCTCTCCTTGAAGCTCTCCAACAGCAGTGTCTCCATCAGCTCCGATGAATGCAACTCCACCCTAGGAACACATTGAAACCAGCCATTGCAAGTTGATAAATGAGAAAAGAGAGTCCGTCGAGATGAAGGCTTCTGAATCATGCTTCTGCATTGGCATGCATTCGTCATCAGCCCTGAGGCACTAACAACATGTTCTTTTCCCTTTCTTTTTCGGGACTACCCAAAAGCTGGGGAGCTATCACTCGACAACCCTCCAGAAGGGAAGCAGCTAAGGGCTAAACCCTCATCGGCTACCAAATTGTTTTCTTTTTTCTAGACAATATTCTTGTAAGACAGAGGAATTTCTGCTGGTACTACTCCAGGGGAGAACCATTCTCATCAAGCTGAGAGGTTGAAACTACAATCTCCCACCTAACCTCAAAACCAACAACTATTGTTGGATCCTGGCTCCTAGCGGAGCCTTGTCTCCCCTCCTCAGGTCCAAAAGGGTATGATTGACCCTTTCTCTCTCTCTCAATTTGATAAAAGGTGAAGCGTCATACCTGGACCCCTCCTGAACAGTGGTCGCATCTTTATCTAAAATGTACTCGATATCTGACCACAAAACTGAAGGATTAGAGCGTTTCCAGTTTGAACATCACCTGACAAAAAAAAGTTTGTTTTTCAATTAGAGTTAACACACCAGTCAAAACCTTCTAGATGGCAACTGCCATTTCAATATTAGAAGTAAGAAAGTCTGAACCTGGTTAATTCTTTGGAGTTCCCCCACCTTCTGATGGCTTCTTTGCTCGCAAAACCTTTGTAGAATTCTCAGCCACCTTATCGACTCACATTTTATCTTCATTGACACAAAACCTTTGTAGTATTCTTAGCCACCTTATCGACTCACATTTTATCTTCATTGACGTATGAAGAAACCAACAACACTTGGGCTGTGTGACCATACTACAGGGATTCAAAAATCAGTTGAAAACATCCCCCTGAGTGTAATGAACGAAGAAAAGGCTCTTTCCTTCGACAGACATGGCAAGACCACGCATGAGAGGCGGCATCTTCATCCACTTATAGGTTCCTCCGGACGGATGGGTTGAAACCCCCCATTCTCTTGCTGGTGCTAAGAGGAAATTAAGCTTCCAATTTTCCATCTTGTTCTCCAAGTCAATCAGACGGATCTTTCTAGTTGAAGTGAAATTAACATAAAACGCGTATTAAAAAAGTTTCATGACCAAGGGATCTCCATTCGATGAAAATACATAGTGCGGGTCATGATTGCCGCTATACAATTTGCTTTCAACTGAGGTGGAATGAAATTGTAATGATTCAAGATATCCCAAATCTTGAGGCAGAAGGGGAGGCGAAGCCCCTCAATAAATTGATCCCACTAGAGCATGATTCACCCAACATAATCGTCAGTTGCACGGTCGTTTGGTCCCAAAGCCTCCAAATCTATCCCCTAGTAAAAAACGTAGCGCCTTTGTAAACTTGAAACCTCGTTGGACAAAAAGACAAAACATTTTGAAGAGCGCATCTTCCCAAACTCTTGAGCAGAATATTTCGACGCCTTATTGAGTAGAAAAGGGAGGAATGAGCGAGGGTGAAACGACCAAAGGATTCAAAGAAAAGGATGTAAAGCAAGAAAGATACTTGACTTCATAGGTATACATACATACGCCTGTACACGTGTAACTCACAAGAAACGAAGCATCACGAGCCGTATGTCTATAATGCAAGACATGTCAGATCACTAGAAAAGGAAAATTTAAAATATTTAAAAGCAACTGACATTATGATTTACATTTATTCAGATAGAAAGAGGAACATGAATCCTATCATTTTGATTTTTCCGACCTTCTCATATATATATATATATATATATGTCGGAAAAATCAAAATGATAGGTCTCCACAAACAAATCAGGAATCACACTTCTACTGAGGAGTCTATCCATATCAAACCAGAGCAAAAAAGAGGAACTCTCACCAGATGCCGGAGGAATGCCCACAACTCTCCCAACCCGACAAGAACCGATAGCATTATCACCCACTGGCATTACACTCCCAGAAGCCCTCTGGGCGTAGCCCTTCGGTCGCTTAGATTGGATGGCTGGTTCGGCTGTGGAAGGAATGCATGGACTCTTCCCATACCTCTGATGCACCAAGGGAATATCGTCCAACAAATTATCCTCATCATTGTGTCGACCCGAAGAACCCTTCTTAGAGGTTAACAACTTAATTCTCGTTTTTTTCGCAGGCTGGTCGCATTCAGAGAATTTTTTTTGTCGGTCGAACTGGCATGAACATGACAACCCTCAGAAAGATGGTGTGAAGGGCAGATCTTCTCGACAATTAGCCTGAAAGCTTTCATCAGGACGTCATCGGAAGGACCCCCTAGATGCCCTTTCTTTTCACTCGCCATCAGAGCATCCATCGGAAAAACAATCAATGCTCTAGACAAAGGGGAAATTCTAGCCATGGCATTTAACAAAAGCTATTCATAGAGTGGCATCACATGAAAATCTAAAAAAAAATAATTATTAAGTGCTGATTGAAACTGTAATTAATGAATTAATTAACTTTTTTCTTTTCATAATAGTTGTCACTTTTAAAATGCAATAAAGTTGTGGAACTATATGTGTATGACCAGATCAAGGCGCCACGAATCTCCACGCATGAATATGAAACACGACAAATGAGGTGGGCCCAAAGATGAGATGTGTCAGAGCTGGTCGGGGGGTGGGGAGCCAAATTAGATTATTGAGATAGTCGACACTCAAATGTGAAGATCGACACAAAATACCAATGGGTCGTCTAGCCATATGATGAGCTAAGTAACCTCAAGGCCGAACAAAAGACATCCGGAGAACTGGTCAAGCGAAAAATATCCATCGAGCGGGGAAATGCGAACCAAGAAATTGCAATAGGAACACTGGTGAGGCCAGAAAAGAAGACCACTTATCGTCATCATGTGATTCGTCTGAGTAAGATATAAACGAATGGGAGCGAACCGAGATGATGAGGGGTCGCCCCATTAGTGAAATGTCCATTTTGGGTAATGCATGATGTAAATTATTTTAGCACCCCAGAGTTCATTTATATAGGAAGAGAGAATAAAGGTTTGTGTATATATGGTACCTCCCATACCAATAAATAGGGAGTTATTTAATGAAGAAAATTTCAAAACATAGTGTTCTACTGTGCATTCCCATCTTTTATTTATCCTACGTGCTATATTCTTTGGGCGAGTTGGGCGAGATTTCTGGACATTTTCGGGTTCAACACTACTCATACTTTCTTTGAGTTTTATTTTGAGGGCATTTACATACATAGCCCTTAATTTTTATGTATTTATGAATCCTGCATTTATTTTTTTTTATAATTACACACATAGCTCTCAAATGTTTAATAATATCAATATTTTTAAAAGTAAAATACAACTTTTATGCATAGATTCAAAATATCAAATTATTTTGTTTGTATATATGAAATTTAAGTATAAGATGAGTAAAAACATTAGACTTGTGTGCTATTTGTAAACTTTCCTTGTTTATTAATTACCTTGGGACTGTTATGTTCTTCCACCGATCAGCCGAGTAGTTTCTTGTGATAGCATTGAAATAATATGAAATTTAAGTATATGAAGTATAAAAACATTAGAATTGTGTGCTATTTGTAAATTTTCCTTTTTTTTTAATTACCTTGGGACTGTTATATTCTTGCACTGATCAGCCGAGTAGTTTCTTGTGATAGCATTGAAATCATCTTTTATAGCAATATATATATAAAAGATGGGCTCTTGAACAAAACATCATAATTTTTTTTATTTTTTATTTTTTTAAAAATGTGCGACGCATTCCGCCTAATATCATAACCCCTCACATCCTTTTCAAGTCGTTAGGTTAAATTTGTTTTTGCGAACATTTCTTTCATCTTTTTATGCCTTGGTTTTGTTTAAATAGAGGAGGGTAGGGATCCATCAAGCTCAATAGAGGAAAATAATCTCTTCAACCAACTCCTAGATTTGGTTTCCCATCAGAGAACTTTCAGTCTCCCAGTACTTCCTTTCCCTTATTTCATAAATTTGAAATCTTTGAGAGTTTTGGCTAAAGAGCATTTGCGCATGATCTGTTCTCCAAGAAGAAACGGTGCTTTACCGAAAGTTGAGCTGATACTGATCTTGTTGGTAAAATGGAGCACTTTTTTTCCTGTATTTTTGCTTCTTGGGATGATTTTCTTTTTCAGTTTCGAGTTTTGCGCTCAATCAACTAAACTCTCAGTTCTATTTTTTTTTTTATTAGGTTGAAAATCTGAAAATTCAATTTTGAATTATGTCTTCTACTACTCTGCAAGCACGGACTGGACGCCATCTGCAGCGTTATGAGAATCATTTCCGGCTTGTTGCTGGGTATGGATAGTTCCATGAATCTTTTTTCCTTGCTTAGTGCTTTTTAACTGTTTTTGATTTAGACGGTTCTGGTGTTCCTTGTATGAATTAAGTTACCATTTGCAGAAAAAAATAGAAATATAGGTATGATGTATCTATATAACTATATTGGTATGGGAACTGTTGACTCCTTGAAGAGTTAAACGATTCCTGAAGAGATCCATCCTTAAAATACTGGCGGCAGTGTTAAATCCTTTGGGATAATATAGAAATCAGAAGAGCATCTCTGTTCTACTTATTATGGAATATCTCACGTATAGTACTGTTTTAAGTAGATTCCTTTGTCTTTTTTAAGAATGATGTAGTGCAAAATTTTCATGGAAATTAACAGCGCAAGTTTGGTTTTTTCTGTTTTTGCTGTGATTGATTCAGGTGCATACCTTACAGAATCAACCGAAATGTTGAGAAATCTAGTGTTGATTTGATGAGTAAGCTGGAGGTTCTTATGATAACTTCTCCAAATCAGCATGATCTTGTCTTCCCTAAGGTAATTACTTTACCTGCTCTGCTATTCTTATGTTTTATGGCTGTAACATTGAATCTTAAAGTCATGAAACTCGTTGTGAAGGGTGGATGGGAGAATGATGAGGCTATGGATGAAGCAGCTAGCCGTGAAGCTTTGGAAGAAGCAGGAGTTCGAGGAATCATTCATGTAATTTCAACCTTTTTTGTTTTTTCTTATGCCTTTTTAAACAGAAGCAAGCAAAATTCTTCATCTAGAAATGATGGAAAATTTAAAAGTAAGAAAACAACAAATCCAGACAAAGAAATCTATTTATTGTTTGTGAATTTCATTGTGAATATTCAAATAATTAAAGTTAAGTGGATCAAAATCATGTTTGACTTGTATAACAAGCAAAAGTATTTGTATGAGCTGAAAGGAAAAGAATTAGCATCCGCTAATCCTTCTTTTAAGATTAAGAAAAATTGTTAAATCGTGAAGTTTACTGTATTGATCATCTCTTTCATGGTGCTTTCCATATGTTCAACGTGATTTCATAGAGACAGTTCTGCAGCTCGATGGATACGCAGCAAGTTAATATAATATTATTTTATTTGAGTCACAAGTATTGCAACTTTGGAATAGAACAAAATAGCCCAAAACAAGCTAATTATTGCAGCAGATAATTGATGAGTTTGATTTATGCTCCAATAATCAATTTTGTTGGCCATACAATTTTTTTTTTGTTTTCCTTCAAGAGGAGTTTTGTTAGCCACAGAAGTTGCTGCTATTAGCCATAATTGCAAATTTCATCATCTCCAAGCTACAGAACTTAAGGATAAGTAATCTTTGCATCAACATCAGTGTGTTTCCTTATCAATCAACAAAAATAATGGCAGTTATCAATTATTTGGGTGCACGTGCCTTTCATGCCTTTATTGGATTGCAATCATTTAATAGAACCTGATCCAGCATATTGCTATCCGGTGGTTCCTTTTGTCAAAAGTGACTTTGTTTCTATCCTGCTCTTGGTTTTAAAAGTCCTTAGTGTTATCAAGCCTTTGTTTATAAAAATATATTTCATTTTCCTCATCAATAATTTATTTCATGGAAAACTTTTTGTTTCCTCAATCTTCTCGTTTTATTTGCTTGGTTAACCTTTTTATGTGCTGATATTTCTAAGATTCAAACGTGAATTGCATTAATTTCTATGAATCGTAAATTTAAAGCAAAAAACTTGAAAATTGGTGAATTCAATTAATGATCATCCATTATTTCCTTCAGGATTCTCTATTGGGTGTGTGGGAATTCAGAAGCAAGAGTAAACAGAATCTCTGCAGCCAAGAGGGTGCCTGCAGAGGTTACATGTTTGCTCTTGAAGTTACTGAGGAGCTTGAGTTTTGGCCGGAGCAATCTACACATGATAGGAAATGGGTATGTGCCTTAACCTCTCTAAATTGTTAAATTGTTTGATGAATATCAATTATAAAAATTTATCAAATATTTGATGCATAAATATATTTTTCTTAATTAAACAGCTAGATGTATGGGAGGCATGGAAGCTGTGCCGTTATGATTGGATGAGGGAAGCTCTGAACTCCATCTCAATACTTATAACTGGAAAGCCAGTCAGATTGGTTGCTGTACCGGAGATTTCCGAGTCCACTTCGCTTTTCTGCCTTGTGAAACCTTCTGGGACTGAATGCGTTGATAGTGCTATCAATGCATTTTGTTGATGAGTTTTCTTGTTGCATGTTAAACCTTTTTTTTTTTTCTCTTTTCAGCGAGTGAAGGTAGAGTTGTACAGTTATTAGTGTTTAACGACAAGACATTGTTGTACAACTACTCCTTGTTGCTTGGAAACCATTATCAATGCTTAAATGAAAGGGCTTTTACTACCAGATGACTACGGCTATAAGACTACTTATGGAAAATTTGTAATATTTTCAGGCCTTTAGTTTAAGGGGGATCAGGTGTCGACATTGGTCTTTTCTGAATGTTGTGGCCTAAGATTCCGTGTGTAGTGCAGATTTTTGTATGGTTAAATATCCAGCGGCTCCTTTTAAGTTGGTGCCGTGTGTAAACTTCTACAGAAAGAGCTAAATAATGGGATGCAGAAACAGAGTAAAGAAACATGAATGTATGCAGTGTGAGATTAGAGACCTGTATGTCACTTTCCTCAGGAGGAACAACATACTGAACATTCAGTAGGAGCAGATAAGAATATTTGTCCATAGGTACTTGAGATTCTGCAGTCCAGTATCATCCATTGGTAGCAGATGAAGGGTGTTGGATTTGCTGCTGTTGTAATGAATGCGATTGTGTTTGTTGTAGTGCATTTTTGAGTTGTTATTCCTCCGCAAGTTGATGGTTTGTAACTGAAGCGTGCACGCATATATCGAAATGTCGAGTTGGGCAAGAATTTAATAGGTATGTCGGCGATCTTAGAGAAGATATGGTGACTAGTTCGAGCATTAATGCAGTTTCGAATAAAATGGTGGCCAATTTGGATATGTTTCATACGAGCTTGAATAAGTAGATTATTTACAAGTTTTAAAGCAAAAACATTATCAAACTAGAGTAGTGGGCTGTTAGAGAGGGAAAATCCTTGAAGTTTGCTGCAGATCTGACCGCAACTTTATATATGCTTGAAAAATTTAAGTATTTAATACTGCTGCTAAAAGATTCTGAAGTTGGCTGCAGATCTGACTGCAACTTTATATATGCTTAAAAAAATTAAGTATTTAATATTGCTGCTAAAAGATTTACTTCCTCAGCAATTGTACCAAATCCGTAATTACAGTTATAGATTCGATAAATATGGACGAAATAAATATTCAATAATTGTAAAGTCACACTTATCAACGCAAGTATATGTATCGCTCAAGTAATATAGGCTCTAATGGAGTCCTAGATATTGATCCCACAGGTAGTAAGTTTAGAACTACGAACTAAGATTTTAGAAAAAACAATACTTTAATCACAACAATGAAGTTCAATTTGTTTATCTGTCACTAGTAAGCAATTGAAATAATTTACGTAATTTTAATAACATTAAATAACTAATAATACTAATGAAGGTTTAAATGTGATATTCAATATATAAGAAAATATTTTTCTCCTTGTAAAAAAACTATAGTGAATGGATAAAGTGAATTAGTTCAAATTATATTGTGTCAAATAGGAGCATACATATTTTTTACCCTTTGGTCCTGACATAAAGAATATTGACTAATCCTATATTGACTAATCCTACGCTTG